CGTAATGAAGATTTGGGAGTGTTAGATATCAATTAGATGAGAAAAGAAGTCAAATAGATAAAATATAGTCCAAGTAATATCACGTGTCAACTTTTAACCGAAAAAGTTATGTTTCGAATTTTTAGTCTCAATTTGAGACTCATTTTTGGCATAGGAAATATTTGAATTGAAAATATTGTTTTGGAAAATTTGTAGATCTTTGAGTTATCTTTCCAATACACTTTGAATCACCTCAATTGGATATCAGGAGAAAACATTATAACAAAAATACCGAGAATTATTCAACTTTCGAAAATGAGATGAGGTGCGCACCCTCACCTACAGGATAGGCTCTTGCCCCAATCAAAAATAGGACACCTGAGGCATCCCAAACTAGCCAGCCACGCGCCCTAGATGTGCCTAGGCCCATGCTTTTCCTTATTTTTGCTTAGGTAATAATTCAATGTAATCTTTTTTGCATCTTTTAAATACAAACCTCGACCAGAACAGGGGGAGATCTCCTTTCATCCTAAATTTCATCATATTCTACATATTTTGGAGGTAAAGAACAAGTCTATACATAAATTTAAGGTGAATTATACAAGGATTTTGAAGATTCAAAGCCCGATTTCAACATTTGAGTGGAGAACGTAGATTTCTCCTACTTCTTCCATCATTTTTATTTTCGGGTGATTTTTTTCAATTATTCTTATGTAATTTAATTATAAGAATATTATGTTAAGTTTTATTGTATTAGATGAATTATAAACCCTATTGTTTATTTATTTTAATTCAAGATGTTTAGTATTTCTTGATTTTTCTTGATTGATTTTGCATTCTCATTAAAATATTTGATTACTTGATCACTAATTATATAGTAAGTTGCTTGTTATAATGTAGGAATACTCACAATAAGTTTAGAACGCAGCAAAATCAATATATGGGCAATAAGTATTAGGAATAATATTATGACATGTGCAACCATGTGTGATAAATCCAGTGAATCAATGCATATTTTTCATATGAATTCGGATTAGGAATATGATCGAATCGTGTTAAACATATGTTTAATATATCTTGGAAAAAAAATTGAATAATAATAGATTATCCATTGTCTTGAATATATGAATTTAGTAGATTACGAATTAAGAATTGAATTAAATGGCAATAGGGAGATTCACAATTCCAATACAAACATTTACATATTAAATAAATACTTCTTTTTTTTTTGTTAGTTTTGGAATAATATATATTACATATAAATCATCTCTTTTGATATCACCACATTTCAAATTTAATAATAGCTGTTGAACTACAAATTAGACCTTATTTCTCGTGGGAATGATATTCTTAACTTACAAGTTTTATTAATTGTACAACAATCACGTACACTTACGAGTTTTGTCCGAACATATATCGATTGAAGAAATGATTAGCTAAATAAATGGACGCAATCCCAGCAAATTGAATTTAGTAGAAAAATCTGAAGTTCTGGATCTACAGTCTAAATACTTAAAAGTGTATACTTATGCGAAATGAAAATAGAAAAAGTAAAGTCATAATATGAAATGTGCAACTATTTAATAATTAATTTTGAGAAAACTTGTATAAATAGATAAGTTATCGTGTGGTTTATGCAATCACAAGTCGATACCTTGTTAGCGTGACAATGAATAAAACTAGATACGCGTATAATAAATGTGATTATTGTCAATTTATCTTATATAAATTTAATACTATCCTTATAGGATTTAATATGCTTGAAGCATAATACAGTGATATTATCATGAGATGAGTAAATAGGCGTTGAACTCTTTTTCTCATGATCGAGATTTTGTTCTATTAGATTTTCTTGACAAGTTTTTAACGAGATAACTATTGTAGCGTATTCAAAGAAATAATATACTCTTTTTCTTTCATTATGATTTTTTCCACTGGATTTTTCCTAATAAAGTTTTAACAAGACATTTTTTGTGTAATGAATGTTCATAATAAACAAAATATTTACCCTTAAAATAATACTTTTATACGTATGAGACTCTCAAAAAGATCAACAAAAGTTATTTTTTGAATCATCAAGTTTTGTCTCATTGATTTTCTAGAAGACATTGATGTACAGCACATCAATATTAAAGACATTGACATATAAGACATGAATCGTTTGATAGAAGAATTGAAAATTGGGAATAGTAGTCGTACTATTTTTCCTTCGATCAAGTTTTTTCCCACTAAGTTTTCTTGACAAGATTTTAATGAAGTGACAGTTTATTATTCCAAATTATTTGTACTCTTTTTGTTTTTATTATTTGTTGGCATATTTGCCCCCATCAAGTTTTTGTCAAATAATGTTTCAATGAGATAGTTATTATATAAATAGCCATTTAAAGGGAAGTGTTGTAAATATAATAGTATTTATGAATGACTTTCATACTCTTGCGATCGTAGTCATTATTATTGTTATATCCCTTGTAGTGCTAATTCTTCCCTATAAATATAAAACTTTGGCTCTTAATAAAACACTCAAATTTATTGATTTCTCTATTTTGTTCTCTTTTTTTCTCTAGTTTATAACAAGGGCAATTTTAATTGAATTCGAAATCCTAATTAAATAAAAGGACTAGTTTATGTTTAATAAACTACACACTTGCGTACTGCAAACCTGTTTTAAAATCAATAAACAACTCAATCAAATACTGAATAATGACTTCTTTGACCTTTAATATATTGGGCCTAACTTATTTAAATTAGTTTTTTCTTGAGTTCATGATGTATCATTTAATACGAACTACAAGACAAATCCAATATTGATATATTTATCATCGCTTTATCAATACCTAATTATTTGGCCCAAATAAAATTGAAATTAATATTATTTCACTTTAGTGTTTTAACTTTCAAAATTATAAAAGGACATTTAAATCAAAATCGTTATCACCAAAAGCTCTTTTACATGAAGCAAAAACAGAAACAAAAGTCATGCGACAATTTTTATCTTATGCTGACATAATACCAGTCTTAATTTAGTGAGATCTTGTGAGGCTGATTATGCAAGCTGCATAGATGATACAATTCACTTATTAAATTTTCATGATGGCAGCTGGAGTTGATTCAATGGAAAAGTGTCAAGTAGACAGCTCACTTGATCACGAGGATAGGGTATGTGATCTGTTATGAACTTATTCATAGGCACAACTTCTATTGCCAAACAATCGAAGTTATCTCAAGTATTTGATAAATTGAAGAAACACTTAATTATAGATTGTTCCATCTGACCGCAAATTTTGAAAAGCTGTTAGAGAATTATTGAGAGCAATTACCCAAGTCCCAATCCCATACCACCAGGTCCAAGTGAGGTTCCATCCCAAAACCAATTGGTAATGGGTGGAGTAGCCCACTTGGGTTATATGGTGGATTTACTTTCTTCCCACAACCGATGTGGGACTTGTTTGCCCCAACAATCCCTACCTCAAACAAGGCTCACGAGGTAAATCACCACTCATCGAGATAATCCATCGTAGCCTGCACCTACTACGTTACCATGGATCCACCATCT